TGGGGTCTGCGCAACTTTCACCATCCCCTTCCTCTCCCACCCCCCTACGAGGGGGTCTCCTCTCTCTCTCTCTCTCTCTCTCTCTCTCTCACACACACACACACCCCCACCCATCCCCTACCTGGCCGAGGGGGCCAAGCTTGAAAACCCATGCTAGGGCTGACTAGGGAGTTCAGCTGCTGCTGAATCCTGGCCTGGAGTGTCAGCTGCTGGATCTGGAACTCGAACTATGCTTTGTTCAGAGTTATGAACATTTCAGAGTTACGAACAGCCTCCATTCCAGAGGGGTCCGTAACACTGAGGTTCTCCTGTATATGACAGGATTGTGCCCTAGTGTTACGTAGCCATGTCAGAGAGGAACGGTGGAGGGTATGGCCTCTCCAACTCCCTGTGGGAACGGCATTAGACCTGCTCAGACAGAGGCTAGAGTGAAGAAGGGACAGGAGGGGCTGCCTCACCTGATTCTTTCTTCTGTGAGCATATAGGTGGGGAGTGGGCAAGAAGAAACTGGAACCATGGCTCTGCCCTCCCAAGTGCCAACGGGCAGAGCCGGCCAAGTATGAAGGGAAAGTAAGCTGCATCCCAAAAGCGGTGTCATAGCTTACTGCCCGTCTCAGAATAAGGAGAGAGCAAGAAAGTGGGAGTGACTCTGGATAGTAATATCTTCTCAGGGCTCTCCCTAAAGTAGTGCAGTTTAGCACTACCCTATGCTCATTTATGAGCTCTGAAATATGCAGTCTATCACATTTGGAACAAATGTATGCTACAGTAAGCATAACCTAACAATTGCTCATCTTTCAGCAACTTATAATTAAGGAAATATAAAAGACGTACTTCATAAACATTCAGTATAAATGGAAAGCTTCAAAAGTGACAAATTGTATCAACAGATAGCAGAATTTACAAAAAATACTAAAAATTTCTACAGAGCGTGTGTGCCTACAGGACGTGGGAGTTAATATGCAGAATAATAGACTCTGTGTGGCACATAACTTACAGCAGCACAAGGTGAGAACCCTAGGGACATATGCTAGTGGATGTACCTCATGGAATGGCTAGGATAAAATGACACTGACCCAAATTCTGTTCTCCATTCCACCAGTGAACATCTGGAGAGGGCTTCCAGAATGTCTGGCCATGCATTTCTCCGGTGTGTCTGGACTCAGTTCTGTTCTTAGTTACACTGGTGTAAATGAAGAGTAACTACTGAAGTCAATTAAATTATACTGATGTAAAACAAGTATAAGTAAACCTGGAAATATATCCTTTGTCTCTAGAGCAGGAGTTCTCATCAAACAGGGGGTCACAAGGTTATTATGGGGGAGGGAGTCACGAGCTGTCAGCCTCCACCCTCAAACCCCGCTTTGCTTCCAGCATTTATACCAGTGTTAAATATATTTAAAAATGTGCTTTTACTTTACAAGGGGGGGGGTGTCACTCTCATAGGCTTGCTGTGTGAAAGGGGTCACCCATACAAAAGTTTGAGGACCACTGCTGTAGAGAATATTTCCAGGATGGTTTTAAGGGCCAGATTCTGCCACCCTTACAGACACTGAGCAGTATCCTTCTCCATGCTGAGGCACGACCATTAGAGAAAGGTGGTACTCAATGTTAGAAAGATTGGGTCGCAGAATTTGGCCTAACTGAATAAAGTAGATTAAAATTAACTAGCCGCTTTGTAATTTTCCATCATGGTTTTTACCTGTAAGATCTCAATGATTTTTAATTTGGTGTCCATCACAGTCACATCTTCACTGTCTGGGCTGGCCTGCTTGCTCGAGTGGAGGCTTGGCTGTATATCAGGTACGCTGATGGGAAAGATAGATCCTCTGCTCAGTACCATTTGTGTCATCATCTCTCCCACACCATGGATGGTCCTCATAACATTGTTTCCTAGGTATTAAAAAAAAAAAAAAAATACATACAACTGGTGAACCTTTCTTTCAAAACCACACACACTCTTCGTGTGGCAAAAATACCCCAACAATCTTAATAAATCTACTAAGGACTAAATCATCTCTTTCCAGCTAAAGCTGCACAAGACGGAAAGAGTAAAGTCAAAGTATCTATGGTTTTGGAGCCAAATATATCTGCCACATCACCATTCCGCAGAGGACATACTTGCAAGCCAGCGGAAAGGCCAAGAGACAAGGTTCCCCAAACACTCACTCACCCCATCAATGTGTTCATCACCTTGTTCTGCAAGGAACACCTCAGGAGAAGAGTGCATAGTTCAGTTTCCATGCTCACTCTCATTGGGCTTCTCCATCAAGATTTTCCACAAGGTTGCCAATTGAGATGGTGGATTTGGTAACAGAATTGTAGAATCACAGAGATGTAAGGCAGGAAGAGACCTCGAGAGGTCATCATCTAGTCCAGCCTCCTGCTCTGAGGCAGGATTAAGTATACCTAGGCCATCCCTAACAGGTATTTGTCCAACCTATTCTTACAAACCTCCAATGATTGGGATGTAGACACCTGCACCTTAGGAACTGGACTGAGACCAACAAATGATTTTAAACGTGACACTAAGAAGCCATCAGTTGGTAAGGACTTTTGGTCTCTTCAGACCTAATCTGATTTTAACCAGTGACCTAGAGGTAGAAAAAGCTTTGTATGCTGTCCCCATTACCAAAAGTCTGGGCCATTTGATCACCTTACCAATCAACTAGTTATTGTGTACATCTATATCTATAGGGGCATATAAAAAATGTTTGAATTGTTTAACAGAGATAGAAAATAATTGCTTGACTTACAGCACAGTTACTCCCGTTGTTTAAATTAATCAGTGTTCTGAACACCAAAGAACACACATTTTGGAACATTTATTTGGATGTACTCAACATACTCCCATCCACGGCTCTGAGCACATACACACACTCCATAAAACGTACACAGCCTACAAGCTGAACCAATGTTCAAACTGCATTCTCCCACCATTCAGCCCCATTTGCTCAACCTTCCCACTTCAGAAAAATCCTGGGAAAGGGACAGACCTTATAGCCTGACCTGAATGTCAAAATGTTCCCAACCTTTTTCTTTCTGAGCTCCCCCCCCCAAAAAGCATACCATAAAAACTCCATGGCCTGCCAGTGCCACAACTGTTTTTCTGCTATAAAAGCCAGGACCAGCATTAGGATGTATCAAGCAGGGTAACTGCCCAGGGCCTCACACCACAGGGGTCCCCACAAAGCTAAGTTACTCAGGCTTCGACTTCAGGTGGCAGGCTGGGAGCTCTGGGCTTCAGCCCCACACAGGGTCCCAGCAAGTTTAACACTGGCCCTCCTTGGCGACCCCCCTGAAACCTGCTCAGGGCCCTCCAGAGGGCCCTGGACCCCTTGTTGAGAACTGCTGTTCTACAGTTACAGTTCCTTGCCTGGGCTCCTCCGAGGAAGAAACTCACTCTCCTCAGAGCTAAGCGTTCCACTTTAATCTAGCCTTAAGAGCCCAGTTCAACCATCCATTCTATTGACTCTGCTAGGAGTTGGATCAACCACTACATGAGGATGCTGTTTGTTCAAACAAACTGTGCTGTTCTTCTTCTACTCTGACTTCTGACATGAACAGCAGTTCTATGAATGAATGACTATCTTCATTCTAGGATGGGGGAGGAGGAGGAGGAGGAATTTGGGTCTTGCTCTGGACAGGACATAATGGTTCCTACCAGTGTGAATTAGTCTTTTCATAACTCGTAACTCAGATATATGACTAATGGATAAGACAATGAGACGACAGTGGAAAGAGATTCTCCCCTCTAAGCAGAGATAATGATAAGTGGGAATACCTAGAGTATGCAAAAGCAAACCAAAGGCTGGAAGAGAAGATCTAATTTGCCAGAGGAAGGCTTAAGTAGTTCCTTGAATGTCTTCTGTATACTTTAATCACCAGGCAACTGCAACATCACAATAACCCTCTTTCTGTATAATCTGCTGCAAAAGGTCAACATCCTATTATATTTTGCTAGCAATATCCTCCCCTTATGCCTTTTTGCCACCATTCATGGAGTTCATATATTGTATGTGAGGAAAGAGGGGGCCCTTTAACCCTGACTTAAAAAGAAGAAATAATTTGCTTTTTCAAAGTGAATGAGACAGATTAGTGTCATGTTTCAGGTCCCGTTCAGCATTCAGTCTGGTGTGCAATCTGCCTGAATTGGGTTTTTGAAAATACTCCTTCACCTCCATACAAGTTAAGGGGGCAAAATAATTTCTGACCATTTTTGCATCATGCTAGGAAGAAAAGCACTGGATATCAGACTGAAGACTAAATCCTAACATCAGGGTCATACACAGGCAGATCCTCCTAACTGCCTACATATAAGCAAGGTAATAAAAATCTTTCCAAATATCCTCCTGGCTACTGCATGGTGCTGGAAATTGCATATCTGGCAGAACTGATCTTTAAACTGCATGAAACATGAGACTAGGATCACCTCCCCACAAAGTGCTAAGCAATGTTTATCTGCATTGATTACAATGTAGTTACATCAGTGTAAAAGAGGCTTACGAAGAGGAGAATCAGGCCCCTTGACCTTTGAAGTGGTTCCATTTAAGTTGGGATTTTTTTTTTTAAATAGTATTTACCACCAATTTGTGAAACAGATGATCTCATTCATAACACCCTGTACTTTCAGCTGCATAGTCTGCTAACAGTGAAGTGCGGTTGTAGGACTATTCGGTATCCCCTGGGTTTAAGAAATAGAGCAACAACAACAAAAGTAAAGACCACAGTACAAGATCACTGGACTGCATCACTCCTTGGTGACCTGTCATATCATTACTTGAAAAATGTATATGGAGGTTAAAATTTTCCCAATTAGTAATGGAGATTTCAGAACTCCATTCAGTGAGTCAGAGTGTTTATTCAGTAAGTTCATTGGTATTTGGAAAGTTAATGAATTCTGCATAAAAAGAGTCAGTGGAGTTACAGCACAATACAACCGGTACAGCAGAGTGAAGAACTAGGCTGCATAAATTGAAGAAGTGACAAGAAGATAGTCTTCTAGATTTTTATGTCAATCCCAATTCCTTTCTAAAAAAGCAAATCTTGAGAGGTACTTTTAATTGATTTCAATGGGATTTGCAAGCGCCTGGCATTCCTCTCAGGAATGGATCCACTGAATGTAGGTATTCACTATACATGTGTGCAATTTCTGCTTGAAAATTCTCTGAATATTTCAGTCATTCCAACCTCTAAAATAAATCCTGCTGAAATAGCAAAGGCCCAGGTACTGTGCCATATAGGATTAGACTTCCCCCCCCGCGAGCTCTGATGAAGGGCAATGCATAGTTGCATTCTGTCAGGAGCAGACCAGAAATCAAACTGTGACTCAGTCACAGTGTGGGCTGGTTCCTCTCTTACTCCAGAGTGAAGAGTAATCACTTCCCCATCTGCAACAGATCAGCGGTGCTGCTCTGTACATTCGGAGGGGGAGGAGGGAGGAGAAACAGAATCAAGATTATGCCCAATCCCCACTTCTGCTCACTCGTCACCCACCCATGTGGAAGGGGAGAAGATACCCCACATTTGTCAGAGGAAGGTTGGTGCAGTGGTTAGGATGATATGGATAGGACATGAGACACCCTACTCTGCCAGATTTCCTGCATGACCTGGGGCAACTCACTTAGCATCTCTTTCCCTCCCCCTTCCCCAGAGCATGCCCTGCCCTCACTCTGCCTTTTCCCACTCTGCTCCTCCCACCGCTGCAGAACAGCTGAGAGGAGGCACTGGGGCGAGGAGCTGATTGACAGGTGGCTGCTGAGCACCCACTATTTTTTCCCCTGTAGGTGCTCCAGCCCCAGAGCACCCCTGGAGTCAGCGCCTATGCACAGACTAGCAACAGAGGTAGGAAGTGCAAGGGAATAAGGGGGCTGCAAGGCAGCGTCACAACTGAACCTATAACAAAGGAAAAGTTACACTGGATTCACTACACTCCTTCCTCCCAAACATTCCTTGAACATCAACCTTTGTGTGACTGAAAGTTAGAGGAAGATCAGCTAAAGAACGTTGTCATCTTTTGTTGTATTTCATTAATACAGCAGAAAGTGTTTTTAGTGGGAAAAAGCCTGCTTAATCATTTTTAGTATTTATATCTGCAATGGCTAAGACCCTCTTTAACCAATATAGTTTTCTTTCTGTCAACAATACCGGCAGTTACTGGGAGTAACAGGCAATTCAATCTCATACAGCATCTTAGCAAATGGCAAGATATCAGCAATTATATTTTAAATTAGCATGCAGCAGGTCTGGGAGAGAAAATTCCTGGAATGAAAATGAAATGGCACTTAGAACAATTAATTATACTTTCCAACCTGAAAGAACCCAAAATATTTCACAAGCTATATAGATGCAGACCATCACTGAAACACAACTCACCCACAAATGGTGTGTGACTGCCAACCAGTACATACAGTGCACAACAAGGGGGCGCCAGAGGGTGCACAAGACACTCAGAGGAACCTGTGCTTTAGGAATATCCATGAAGAGTAGACAGAAACTTGATTTTAAGAGGTCTCCTCCAAGAGACCTAAACACAGTAATCTACATGCCTCTCAACGTAAATACAGTATCTGCCTTAGAAAGAAGAAGGGGTAAATCAGATCTGTAGAAAATTTGAACCAAGAGTAGGTATGTGCTTCAGATCCGTTACATACAATCTGCATGGTCCAGTGGATAGGGCCCTTTATTCTATTCCTAGCAAGTCACTTCATTTCTCTGCTTTTGTTTCCCCTCCCACTTTTTGTCTCATTTGTCTATTTAGATTGTAAGCTCTCGGGGGCAGGGCATGTGTCTTATTAAGTGTTTGTACAGCGCCTAACACACTGGAGTGCTAGGTGCTACCACAATACAATAATAAATAATAAGTTAACCTACCACCTCCACTGTTACTAATT